GCAATAACCGAATCGCTTTCCAATATTAATCGACCTTTGTCACCTCATTCTGAATCCAAAAACAGAGACAATCCAGCTCGAATGGCCTTCAACTCAGCTAAAATAAGAGAACCTGGACCGGACGGAGAAGAGAAAGAACCCAACACCTTTCTTTTAGCATCTCTAAGAAGACCACCAATGCCACTGCTTAGTTTCGTGCCATTTCAATCAACTTAGAAAAGCAGAAAACTAACATTTAACCCTTGGTTTTTAAAGGCGCACCGAGGCGCAAAAGGTCTTTGGAGCCTAGGCGCAAGGCTTAAGCGCGCGCCTTTCGTCTGTGATGTGCACTTTTTGTGTTAAATTTTTTTATAAATTAATTTAGAACATATCCACATCTATCAACTCCTGGCTCACTCCCAATACATTTAATTTCCTTCCCACACTATGTTCCTTTACTATTGTTTATTCCCTCCTCAAGAGTCAAGCCCTATTTCTACAATTTACAAAACCTTACCTTCCAAAACATTTCAAAACAATTAGGGTTACACACTTACACTATGACAAACTAATGGTTGCATGTTTCAACTAGGTGAAACAATAATTTGTCCACACAAATTAACAAAAGAACAAAGAACAGTAACACCTATCCTAAGGCAACATTGCTATTATAATTATATTATATTTCAATTATAAAAAATTATTATAATTATAAAAGTAATTATATATTAATTATTTATTTATATATTAGATAATTTTTTATATAAAAAAGGGTGATGGGCATAGTCGGTAACATAATATTTATTACATTAGTTTATTATAATAGATCTTATTTTTATTAGTATGTCGCTTTCCCCAGACCCAGGCGGGCGATTTTTTCGGCGTATGATACATATATTAAAAAATCGAAAGCACTAAGGCAATTTCTAAAGCCACTTCCTTGTGATAGTTCAATCTTAGCACTCAACTTAAAAGCCCATGATAACTAACACCATGTTAAGAATTGCATATATATATATGTTAATTAAGTGCTAGACATGGGATATTGACTATGTGATAGATATCATTTAATACATTGTTAGGAAAAATAACTGCATATAGAAAAAGTATAAAGTACAATTAACTACTGACTGAAGGTAATGTTCATCACTTCAATTAATGATTAAAAGTCAGTGTATTAACTTAGACAATGAGATTAAGGAGAGAACTCACAGCATCTTCCATAGTCGAACGCCATCCTTGCATGGATGACATTCCATACCGAAGCCTGTCATTCTCACCATCGTCTGAAAACTTTTCAGTTTTCGGCGTACTAAGGTATACCCCCATTTCCTGGTAAGCCAGGACAAAATTATCAATTACATATTGTATTGTAAAATTCAACTTTCATACATACAAAAATGACACAACCACATGCATCTGGTTGTACACAGAAATCAATTGTTTTTGCATTGCAACCTTATACACATGAAACACATAGCCCAAATCCTCACCACGTGGATAAACACACACACACACACACAGACAAACAAAAATAAATGCTGTAAGTGAGATATGCACAGATTTATGCAAAATAACGAATTCCATCGACGAACAAATGGCAATATGTTCCAGTATAACGCATATATAATAACTGTTATCAGAGATCAAATCGAGAAACCAATGGCAAGTCAAACAGAATGACCTAATTTTCCCCCGTTTTGATCAGAAAGTTAATTCTAGACTAATAAAGTAACCCCATTGATTCATTTCCTCCAAAGATCATTCCCCCTCAGTCAAATTCATTTCTTTTCATTCTCCACGGATTTTCCGGGTATCCAAGGGATCATCAATGAGTATCGAATTGAAATTGAAATGGGGAAAGAGAGTAACAGAGATCGAATCGAATACTTACACCTACGAGAATCAATCAACAAAGAGACATATTAAATTAAAAATAAAGGATAAACAAGTTAGGGTTTGAGATGGAAAGAAAAAGATAACTCACTTTGAGATGGTAATGCGTCTGTTTATTTATCTGTTAATGCGTCTGTGTTTCTTTATAAATCATTTTCGGAGCCAAATGAGCCGTTTGGACCTCTACCCGTTTCAACCCAATCAAACTAGGGATGGCCACTCAACCCGAACACGACAGATTTCGACCCGATCGGATCGGATTTTTTTTAAAAAAAATTGGGTTCGGTCGAGTTTTTTTAAGTTTGATATTCGGGTCGGGTCATGTCGGGTACGGGTTTGGGTGAAAAATATCCGACCCGGAAAAATATATAATTTTACCTTATATATTTAGGAATAATTACAATAATACTCCTCTATATATAATTTTTTCAATTAAGTCACTATTTTTTATTGAATAAAATAATCTTTTATTATTTCGGGTCGGGTTTTTAAGTCATATATTCAGGTCGGGTCGGTGAGACCTTGTTTTGGTCGGGTCGGGCCAGGTGGAGGTTCCCTTGTTCTCGGGTCGGGTGGACTAAAAACTCGACCCGACCCATTACCATCCCTAAACCCAACTCATAAATGAATTATCGGGTAAACTATATACGGTAAACTACGCATCTAATACATAAACTATCATTTTTGGTTCATTTTATTTCCTAAACTTTCAGTTTTTAAAAACTATATATAACGTTTAGTTTTCATTTCATTTTAGTATTCCACTGTTAAAATCTTAACGCGTTTAGTACTTAAATTGTCAATTTTTGTCTGTTTTAGTTCCAAATCTTTCATTTTTTTTTCAAAACTTAATGTTAAATTTTGAACATTTACTAAAATGAAACAAAAACTAAAGCTTTTAACAACAAGATGCTAAAATGAAACAAAAACTAAATTTTAGGTATGGTTTTGAAAAAAAATTGAAAGTTTAGATACTAAAATAGACCAAAACTAATAGTTTAGGTACTAAATGCGTAATTTACCCAATTAAATGCTCATTTGCCCCTTAGTCTATTTTTTGGTGTATGTTGGCTCTCAACGTTTTATTTTATAGCAAAAGACCTCTAGTATTTGATAGAATAATCATTTTGTCCCTTATTTTTTTATCAAACATTTTAGCTCTCAACGTTTCATTTTAAGTTAAAAAAGCTCTTGTTTTAGAGCATTAATCTTGTGTTAACTAATAATTTTCATCTATAGAGATAACTTTTATCCCAAAGTGAAACATTGAGGGCTAAAATGCTTCAAAAAAAATAAGGACCAAAATAACTATTTTGATAAATGTTAAGGGCCATTTTTGATATTATGTCATTATATAAATGGTCATTGAACTATGCTGAAATGATCTTTGTAGCCGCTAAAATTATTGTCATCTAAAATTATCGAAGTATGCAAACTAACCACTAAAGAATAAGATATATAATAAAAGATAAAATCCCAACTAAATAAATTGAAAAGAATGATAGATATAAATATCACAAGAAAAAAAATATTTAGGATTTTTAATTTAGGAGTTAGTATTAGATTCAATAACGTAAAGTATTTTAGAATTTTAAATTTTATAAATTAAATTAATTATGGTCAACGATGTTCATCATTAACAGTACTCAACGATACTCGTCGAACATGACAATCATCTAATAATTAAATAAATGCCTAAGTGTTAATGCTTGTAGACCAAAAATCCAATTTTATTTATTTAATTAATAGAAGTATTTAAACTTCGATTTTAATTAAATTAATTGTATAAATAAAAAATATTAAATGTTTAATATGTAATATATTATTTATAAATTTTGATTGATTTGGTTAATCGATTATTAAACAAATTTTGAAAAAAATCAGCTCGGTTACGATTAAAAAAATCAGTTGACAAATATTTGATTTTTCTCTATCTAACTGTGTAAAACCAAAAGTGTTTTAGTAATAGCAACAGGTGAGGCTGAGAGAATCAAAGAGGTGGTGCAACCGAAAGTTGGAGGTGTAATCCACCTTATCAGGGCAAGAGAGTTGGGTTTCTCGGAGGCAGGGTCGTGGCTAGGTTGTCGGGGATCCTGTACAAATTCTTATAAAGAGATCCCTATTTTCTAGATATATTCGATTTCGGGGCAACAATAGTGGCGCTTTTTGACAAACGCCACAATAGGTCCATCTATAGTGGCGTTTTTCAATAAAAACCACAACAATAGTTGTGTTTTTTTTACAAACGCCGCAATTGGTCCATCTATAGTGGTGTTTATTGAAAAAACGTCACCATAGATATACTCGATTTCGGAGGCCTTATTTTTTGGGGGCCCTGCGCGGTCGCCCCTCCTGTACACCCTCAGCCACGCCTCTGCTCAGAGGCACAATCTTCAACAAACCGTAAGCATATTAAGTCAGACCAAAACTAGGAAGAAAGAATGTCAGACAAATCGTCAAAAGTTAACCAGAGTTTGTCGCCGGACGAAGTAGTTGAGAGATGCTCTATCGAGGAAGAAGACATGCCATTAAATACAGGGTTTTTTTGGAAAATATAGTTAATGATGAGTTAGTTACCATAGTGGTCTGCTATGACATTAAACGTTCGTATTTCTAACATACTTGGTATTTAAATCAAAGATCTCAAGAAATAATAACAATCCTTTCGCAATTGAGGTTGTTCAGTTCGTATATTGAAATTATAATTTAAATATGTAAAAGTGTAATTCAAGAAAATATAAGTATAATTCAATATTTTATCTAACTATTTTCTTTAACAATTCAATATAAGTATAATTTAATAAAATAATAAAAAATGATATTTCATATAAATATATTAATAAAATAAATTTAAGTGAACAGAACAAGAGTATTTCAAAAAGTTAGGTGATTAAATTAAAAAATTTCAAATTTTAATGATCAATATAGGAGTTAGAAGATAGTTAAATGATAACGGTGTAATTTACCCATATAGTAAAGGGTATTTTCATGGTTTACGCCGGCATTTGTTTACTATAAATTAGATACGAAATAGGTTATTCTGCATTCGTTTATCATCTTCTTCGTACATCTGTAGAAGGAAAATCGCCAGAAATTGAGTTAGGGTTTTTAAAAAAATGTCCTAAATGTATAACGGGATTGGACTCACCACCCCTCGAGGGTCTGGTACCAATGGTTACATTCAGAGCAACAAATTCTTCGTGAAGCCGAAAACGAACCGGGTAACCGATTCCACCGGACGTTTCGACGCCGATCAAGTCACCGCCGGTCTCACCGCCAAGAAACCGAACAAGGAAATCCTCGAGCATGATCGCAAGCGTCAGATTGAGGTCAAGATTTTGATTTTGGAAGATAAACTCACCGAACAAGGTTACACCGAATCTGAGATCGCCGATAAGATTGCCGAAGCCAGGAAAGCTCTCGAAGATGCCCAGCAAGAGGAGGAAGGAGAAGTTATAGATACGTCTACTCATGATTTCTGCTTAGGGTTTCGGATACGCAGACTCACCGAGTTGTTGCGAGGAAGGAGAAGCAGATGGAGACCTTTAGGGCTGCTCTCGGAATAGGAATTTGACCGCCGACATGGCTTTCCGAATTGAGATTTTCCTGTTTCTGATGCATTGGATGTGGATGATCATTAGGGTTTGCAGATGTTAAGCTCGGCGGCGGCGGCGGCTGCCGGAAACATCAGGGTTTAATTAGGTTAAGGTTTAGGGTCATGGGTAATTGGGTCGGGTCGGTTGAGTAAACAAGTAGTCGGGTATACAATCGGGTTTGGGCTTTCATTTTGTAATGTGTTTTTAGTGTATTCAACAAAAATAACGATTCAAAAACGGTATACAAAAATACACCAATATTTTTTTACTATGTTTTCTTATACTTTTTAATTAAATAAATTTTATAAATAATACATGTTTAAATTTATTATATTTAAATAGAGATGTAAATAAAAAACGTTTGATGAATTGTTTGTATAATGTTTGTTTATGTTCATTTATTAACCTAAATAAACGAGTATGAATAAATTTTTTATGCTCGTTTAATAAATGAACAATCGCAAATGAAATTGTGTTAGAATTGTTTATGTTCATAAATAAACTCGTTTATTGACTTATTTACCAATGGTAGAAACTAAATTAAACACATTATAAATTTTATATTAATGAATGTAGGAACTAAATTAAACACGTTATAAATTTTACAATTCAAACCGTAAAATCTAAAGAGCTTAAGAGATAAATGTGTGATTTCATCATTACTCTTTTATGAAAATGTGTTGTTTGATGAGTGCACTCAAACTTTGTCACTTTGAACTATTTTTTTCTCAATGTAGTCATCTTTTTTAATTTTTTTATTATGTATCAATATTTTTCATCATTGACCAACGACTATTTTAATTTCTGTTGACATGACATGTCAAATAGATCAATATTTTTCTTTTAATGATGTGACACATTATTTTTTAATTATTAAATTTTCACCTAAGTTGATGCAAACTCAAAAGGCGCCCAACCAATATTAACTGAGGGCTTTAACGTGATTGACGTGTCAGATCAGCAGGAATATATGGAGTCATAGGTCAATGACAAAACGTTGGTCAAAGATGCTACAATGAGTTTTTTATTTTTGAGTTGGAGGACCACATTAAAAGAAAAAAATAATACGATGATACATTAATTTTTTTTAAGTACAAGGATTTCGCATCCATTTTCCCTTAAAAGTAAAATATAAACAAATATCTTTATCAACACTAAATTAGTTGAATGTCTACGACTTCAAAAATAAATAAATAAATATTAGAATAATATTAGAATTTTAAATGAACACAAATTAAATACGAACATATTAAAAAATAAACGAGTAGAACACAAACATAATGTTATCCTTTTAATTTCCTTCGTTGGCCTAACAATTTACTTAAACATTAAATATTGACATGAATGTAACGTGCATAGACGAATATAGGAGGGTTGATACTTGATAGGCCATAAACCCCCTATATCTATGAAATTATAATATATTATCTTCAAAATGTATAAAATTATAAATTATTATATAATACAATTACAATTTAACCCCCTAAATGATAAAACCTAGATTTTTTTCTTTATAAAATACAAGTATTATTGTATGTTTCACACTTTTTAATTGAGTTTTGAATCAAAGTATTAAAATCATTTTTTTAAAAGGAAAAGTCTAGGTATGGATGGTTCCCCAGTCCAGGGCCAGAGCATATCTAAGACCCAATTGTGATTTACATAGGAATTTACATATTGTTCACCAAGAATAACGGTGATAAGATTCGAATTTGACCTTACAAGTTCAGATTCTTGAATCTCTTACAAGCTCAGATTCTTGAATCTCAACCACTTCTGACAAAGTACTAAAACCATATGTTGGTGTTTAAATGGCATAACAAATGATATTTTTAAGTAAACTTGACATTTTAAAATGATATTCTTTTAATTATACTTGATATTTTTAAAATTATATTTTTAAGTAAACTTGATATTTTTAAAATTATATTTTTAATTGAACTTGATAAATTCTTAGTTCTTGAATCTTCTTTTCTTGGTAAAAGTCAACCCATGTGAAATTTCATGGATTGCTCCCTAAACCTAACATGGGGCCTGGCCTACCCTACATTATTAATCACATTAAGAATAGTCACATAATTATCGAACATGGGGCCTTCCATAACCTATTAGCAATAAAATAAAAAATTAATTAATTAATTATCGATTAATTTGATGTGATAAAGTGTTAAATCTTCTAAACACGTTTAGTGGGATGAGGTACTAGGTCCCTTAAGTAAGTTTAAGGGTTCGAATCCTGGCGTTTGCAAATGGAGCAAACTGGGTTGGGAGGGTCGCCCTCGCCTCTGCAGTACCTGATTTGGATTAGTCGATCAATAGATCAGATACCAGTGATTAATTCAAAAAATAATAATTTAGTTTGTGAGGGATGCTCCAAGAGGAAGGAGGATTATAGAAGCTTTAGTTTGAGTTATTTCTTAGTTTATAAAAAAATAGTTTAGTAGATCTGCTATTTTTTTTAAAAAAAACTTGGGTAAAGTATACAAACGGTCCCTTAATTATAGGTTGTGACTTTGTTGAGCCACTCGGCTATTAAAAGTTACAAAATAGTCACCTGATTATTCATTATTTTTCAGATTCACCATTTTTCATTAAAAATTGATGATAATTTGAGCTAGATGTTGTTAATATGTTGCCTGAGATATGATCAAAATTGAAAATAGAATCTCAAAATAATTAACATCCAACTCGAACTATCGTCGCTTTTTAATAGAAAATGACGAGTTTGGAACATAATGAATAATCGGGTGATCATTTTGTAATTTTTAATAGTCGAGAGACTAAAAAAGCAACATCCTATAGTCGAAAGACCATTTTGTAATGTTTGATAGTCGAATGATTCCACAAAGCAACAACTATAGTCAAGGGGGCATATGTATACTTTACCCAAAATAATTTAGTTTAATAAAAACATTAATGATAAAAAAACAACTAAACTAACTTTTATAAAAAAAGGATAAAAGTATCATTATTCCTTAAACATTTTTTATTTGACTATACTAATTAATTAAGGATGCTATTTATTATTATAAATTTGTGATGAAGTATAATCATTTCTTTAGTTTTCAAATTATATTTTTTAGAGGACTCAAAGTTACAAAATGATCTCGTGATTAAAAGGTGTTGTTTTGTTTAATCTATCGACTATTAAAAGTTACAAAATAGTCACAAGATTATTTATATGTTCCGAACTCGTCTTTTTTCGTTAAAAAACTGACGATCATCTGAGTTGGACATTAACTTACTTACTAAGATATAATAAAATCTGCTACATAATTGTTTGAGTTGTATTTCATGAGTCGAATATATGTTTACATCATATCGTCGAGCCAATGCTTAAAAACAACAATATCGTGGTTGAATCGAACATTTTAAATGCGATAAAACATGGAGAAAGGGTCCATTGAGTTTTTCTTGTACGCTTTCTTGTAATACTATTATGGGTACTCTTTTCCCTCAACTAGGTTTAGAGGGATTTTTAACGAGGCTATGATAATATCCCCTCTTCATAGGGATGGGAATGAGTCGGGTTAAGTCGAATTTTTGGTCCATCCGACCCGACCCGAGAACAATGACTCCTCCACCCGAGATCCTACCCGCATGAAACAAGATTTCACCCGACCCGATATATAACCTAAAACCGACCCGACTCGACCCGAAATAATAATAAAAATAGCGACTTAATTGAAAAAATAATATATAGAGGGTATTATTGTAATTATTCCTAAATATATAAGGTAAAATTATATTTTTTTTGGTTGAGTAGCGTATTTTTCACCCTAAACTCAAACCCGATTTTTAAAAAAAAATCTGACTCGACCGGGTCAGGTCAGGTCAGAACCCGTCGGGTTTAAGTCCCATGCCCATCCCTACCTCTTCACCAAAAAAATGATTTTATCATATCTCAGCTTAGCTTATAGGTTAACACTTAATTCGGACAAGTTTCAAATTTTTAATGAAAAATGACGAGTTTGTAACCTATGAATAGTCAGATGATCATTTTCTAACTTTTAATAGTCGGAGATTCAGCAAAGTAACACCCTATAAGTAGATGATCATTTTGTAACTTTTAATAATTAGAGAATTCAATGAAATAATATCTTATACTCGGGGACCATTTATGAACTTTACCCTACTTATAGTTGTCTGAGGTTTGCCCAAAAAATGCAATAACGTGGCAACCTACACCTAGGGGAGGTCCTTTTGGTAATGGGTCCAATCTTTCCAACACATTCGGATCATGTCGGGTTCCCTTAAACTCTATAGATCTCTTGAATATAGAAAAAAAAATTAACTTATAAGTGGCCACGGAATTTGGTGATATATTTTGAGGGGTTAATTTAAAATGTTTAAAAAATTATATATTAAAATTAAAATGTTTAAATTTTTTGAAGAGTTTAGTTTATATATATTTTAAAAAAATTAAGTTCTAGTTATTTTTTTTAATTTTAAGAGACATAATGAGAATTTTTAAATATTATAGGAGGGTTTTAATTAAAAACACTAAAAATTTCAAAGTTTAATCTATTTTTTTAAAAAAATTTGGAGGACAGATCTTCTTTTTTAATTTTAAGAATCTAAATAATATTTTCTCAAAATTTGAGGGGTATGGCCTCACCAGGGCCGATCCTGAGCATAGGCGAGGAGGGCGACCGCCTAGGGCCCAGGTTTGGAGGGGCCCTTCTTAAAAGTATTTTTAAGTTTAATAATTAAAAAATATTTTTAAACATCATTATTTTATTTCAAACAATCGAAAACATGGTAAATGTCATTGATTTTTATAGTAAAATGTGATATTTATAGTAAACTGTGATATTGACTATTTTTATCTTACATTACACGTATAATGTTCGGTGTTCGCACACACAATATAATGGGCCTATTTTTGAAAATATTTTTAAGTTTAATAATTAAAAAAAATTAAACATTATTTTTTTATTTCAAATACTCAGAAACATGGTAATTCAGTAGGTCCCATTTTGATGATTGGGAGGAGAATCAGGTGTGAGCCCCCATTTGTCTTCTTGTCATCACGTATTGGCCTAGAGCCCTTAAAATATCAGGACCGGGCCTGGGCCCCACTAGTCCTTCTTATATTCTGCCGTCGTTGTAAGCTATGAAATATTATTAAATGATCGTATTCTAAACAGTTATCTCTTGTATGAACCAAACGATCTGATTGATAAATGAATTTTTTTTTTTTGGGTCTCGGGTTCGAGAACCAAGACTATCGGAGATGTGAATATTAAATGTTAAATGATTAAGAGTTATATTTGAATCAATACTACCTTATACTTACTTCATATTAATAAAAAATAACTCTTAATTTTTTGTATTCTATTAATTTAATTCATATTAATCCATTTTCATTCTAAACAAATGATTAATATATAACTTTTGTTAACACCCATAATTATTTTATAACTTTTTATAGTCATAAATCAACAAACTTAACCTAGGTATTTCTTCAATAAATTTAATCATTTTTTTCAAAAAATATATCAATTCACCCAATTTTGGAAGGGTAAACTACACGTTTGGTAATTGAACTTTACTCTATCTTCTATTTCACTCACCATACTTTTAATTTTTTTCAATCTACCCACTGAACTTTATAGATTGATTTTTTTTCATTATGTCGTTAAATAATTAACGACGTTATGACATGACTGTATTTTAATCAAAACAACATTGTTATAGTCTAAAATTTATTTTTTTAAGGAACTCAAAATGACGTCGTTTTGATGTAAGTTGCCATGTCTTAACGTCGTTTAATAATTTAATGGTGGGTGACCAAAAAAATTTAATCTATAAAATTTAGTGAGTAAATTGAAAAATTTAAGTATAGTGTGTGAAATAGGAGAGATAGTAAAGTTCAATTATCAAACGTGTAATTTACCCATTTTAGAAATGGGAGGGACTTAAGCGTTATTTCCCCAAAATAAAATATTTCATCCCCTAGTGTAAAAAAGAATAAAGAATGGAAAGGAGATTTGAGGTGGCAGTGTATTGTCAAACTTGTTAGATACAACAACTATTGATTATTTGGTACTCCACTGTCTGTCTTCATTGTGGACTTTTTCAGATTCCTTTCTAATTAATAAACAAATAGTACAAATAAGTCCCCAAAGAATTGCAAAATGACAAAAAATGTCAATTCAGCTGAGAAGTGGATGGGAGAAATTTCAGGCTTCAATTGTGATCAAAATACATACAATTTAAAATAAAATTTATAAGAAGAATATATTTAATTCGGATCGACCAATGTTGTACATCTGATATTGGTGGGTGACTCTTTCAACGAATTTTTTATATGCATAAGAACTCGAACTCGAGACTTAAGCAATATCAAACTACTTACCACTTGAATTAACTCTTATTAATTAATTTATTTTATTTATAGTATCATAATTTAAATTTGTAACTTTATTTAAAAAATTTAATATCGTGTTCTATTATATTAATTAATTATTAATTAAATTTAAATATCTTAATAAAAATGTAGAAGCATGTAATTAGGGGATTGCTTTGGTAAATTACGCGTTTAGCACTTAAAATATCAATTTTGATCCTTGTTAGTATCTAAACTTTTAATATTTTCAAGACCATACGTAAAGTTTAGTTTTTGTTTCATTTTTGTACCTCACCGTTAAAAACTTTAGTTTTTGTTTCATTTTAGTACCTCGTTCAAAATTTAACATTAAGTTTAAAAAAAATTAAAAGTTTAGGTACTAAAACAGACCAAAATTAATAGTTTAGGTACTAAACACGTTAATATTTTAATGACAGGATACTAAAATAAAATGAAAATTGAATGTTAGGCATGACTTTGAAAAAAATTAAAAGTTTAGATACTAAAATAAATTAAAATTAATAGTTTAAAAACCACATACGTAATTTATCCTATTTCTTAAAGGTCACGTTGGGTCCTATAAATATGTAGAGGGGACATAGTCCCACCACCATCGTTTCTGACTTTATTTTATGTGCACCTTATTCCCTATTCATATCACCATCATTGGTTCTTGCTATTAATTGACAATATATATTTTAGTCTAGACACTTGGTTTAATTTAGAGGTAAATGACACATTCAGTACTCAAACTATCACTTTTGTTTCATTTTGGTCACTTAACCATTTTTTATTTCAAAATCATATCTGACGTTACATTCTGGTCACCTATTCTTAAAAAATTAACGTTGATGTTGATGTGTCACCATAAGGTAATGCAACATCATTGAAAAAGTTAAAAAAATACCATATTAGTAGTTTTGTTACTTTTTTAACGATATGTGACCAAAATGAAACTAAACATTACATTAGGTATGCTTTTGAGAAAAATAACAATTGAGTGACCAAAAAGAAACAAAACTGATAGTTGAGATACTAAATATAGTTTACCCTTTACTTTAATAGGTTTGGAAATAATAACAATATATACTAATATGACCTACGAAATCTTTGATGGTATGAAGCTATTCAAGGAAATTGTAGGTTAAAATGGTTTATTTTAAAAATAGATATTTAAGTTATATAATACTTTTTATTTGGACATTTAAAGTATTTTTGTATTAAAATATATATTTAAAATACAAATTTTTTTATTTAGATACTTAAAGCTAGCATGTGACATAAGAGATGATTAAATAAAACGAACTCAACAGATTTTGACCCGACTGAGTTTTATAAGATTATTTTTATTAAAAGATTTGAGTTCAGAGTTAATCATGACAAATATTGAGAGAAAATAGTCGGAAACAAATTTATAATAAATTTATTTAATCTAATCAAACTCAAAATATTTTAAAAATAATAATTCATTATTTGACATATTTACAAAAATAATATTATATATATATATATATACATACTACACATAAAAATTTTCCATTCATATTGTATATATTTCCCTAAAATCTAATTTATATTTTGTAATTAGAAGGTTTAATACACTTTTAGTGTTTAAATTATATCTCAAATTGATTTTTGGCGCCTATAAAATTTTTCGTTAAAAATAAGTGCTTAATGTTTTTTCCGTTACACTTTAAGTGCCTACCGTTATATTTTTTAATACACTTTTATTTTTTAATAATAAAAATATTATTTTAAAAAAATTCAAAAAATCAAACCCCTGCATCATCCTTTTCCCTCTCATCCTCCACCTCCGACAACGACGAAGGGTCACCACCGATTGAGTTTTATGTGCATGACATGTGTCAGATAAAACGAACTCAACAGATTTTGACCCGACTGAGTTTTATAAGATTATTTTTATTAAAAGATTTGAGTTCAGAGTTAATCATGACAAATATTGAGAGAAAATAGTCGGAAACAAATTTATAATAAATTTATTTAATCTAATCAAACTCAAAATATTTTAAAAATAATAATTCATTATTTGACATATTTACAAAAATAATATTATATATATATATATATACATACTACACATAAAAAATTTCCATTCATATTGTATATATTTCCCTAAAATCTAATTTATATTTTGTAATTAGAAGGTTTAATACACTTTTAGTGTTTAAATTATATCTCAAATTGATTTTTGGCGCCTATAAAATTTTTCGTTAAAAATAAGTGCTTAATGTTTTTTCCGTTACACTTTAAGTGCCTACCGTTATATTTTTTAATACACTTTTATTTTTTAATAATAAAAATATTATTTTAAAAAAATTCAAAAAATCAAACCCCTGCATCATCCTTTTCCCTCTCATCCTCCACCTCCGACAACGACGAAGGGTCACCACCGATTGAGTTTTATGTGCATGACATGTGTCAGATAACGATCAAATTTGACGACCGTTACGATCTAGATACCTAAAAGTGTAACGTTAAAAATGTTAGAAACCTATTTTTAGCGAAAAATCTTTAGGCACCAAAACTCAATTTGAGATATAGTTTAGGAACCTAAAAGTGTATTAAGCCAAATTAGAAAATGATCAAACTATTAATAGAGGGATTAAATCCACCAAAAATACACAGTACAAGGACCTTCTATTGAATTTGGCCAATATTTTATAACGTATAAAACTACACCTCAATACACAGACACCTTTAATCCCAAAGTCTGAACTTTGGTTTGGATTCATCGGTTCACCAGTTGGCACCTGTCATCACCCATGGACAAGGAGAAAATTCCGCCTTTTTTCACAATTTTTTCATTTTTAATTTTTAAAAAAATATTTATTTATTCTTCTTCTTCTTCTCCTCCTCCTCTTAATATTCAAACATACGCGTATGACCGGCTGCTGCTCTTTCCTTTTCCTCCTGTTTCGCTCTCACGTCGTCAATCATCGTGGGTGGGTTTTCTTCTTCTTTCTAATTAAGCTACCCTTTGCTTTATTTTTTGTTTTATTAAAGCAAATTTCTTGCATTGTACATTTGCATGTAGTATATATGATTTATTAGATCCTTTTGTTGATGCCAGTTCAACCCATCTCTCTATTTTCAGGTGAAATTCTTTGTTTTGCTTTGAATTGTTTTACTCTTCGTTGAGAACGATCAAATTTCGTCGATGGGTGTTTTTTCCTTTTCTGTTTTCGTGGACGATTTGAGTGTCTGACTTGGTTTTCTTATCTGGGATTCTGGTTGGTTTCTGATTAGTAAAAGGCTGAAATAAAATGATTGATTATCAAATTCTCTGTTTTTATTTTGATTGATGTTTATTGTTTTTGAGTTTGAAGGCCTGAGTTTTCTTTTTCTGCTTTTAATCTTAAAAAAAAGTACTTTTTGCCTATCATTCATTGGTTTTTTTGTTGTTTTCTAAATTCAATGTGTGGAGGGCCCGTATTTATTGAATTTTGTTTTACCTTTTATGGATCTTTTAACGTTTCAGAAATGTATTATTAATTATTGTTTTGATTTTGGTTTTTGCAGCAGATTTGCCAGAAGAGCATTTCCAAATAAGGGTGTTTGGTGGATCATTGGAATTGAGACATAAATTCAGGTTGTCGCCAGCTTAAGACAAGTCCTTAGAAGCTGTTTTCCCCAGATGCTAAATTTTGCCAGAGGAAGAAGCCAGCAAAGGTCTACAAGATCTATGCCTTTTGCTGGTAACATTTTCTCTCTTCTTCAATTATGACCCAATTTGTCTTCTTTTTAGTTTTTTGATTCATACCCTTTTTCTTGATGCTTCTGTTGTTGTTGTTAATGCCATTGTCATGGGACTTGATCCTTCCATTTTGGTTTAGAAAGTTTGAATTTTTGAAAAAGAAGGGGAGAAAGAGAAAGGAACTTCATTTCATTCTCTCTCTACCTTCTATTTTCGAAATCTTGGTAACATTTTTCCCAATTTACAATTATTGTTCGTGTTTTGCATTTAGGTGTGGAACATCATGATCCCAAAAGGAAGAGCAATTTTGTAGGAAAAATCCTTATGGCTGCAGCCCTTACAGCCTTATGCATTATCATGCTCAAGCAGTCCCCTGCATTCGGTACTCCAAGTCAGGTACCTTATTGATTCTATCTCTATTTTCCCCACTTCCTTCTCTATTCCGCAATGCCGAGTTTAAAATGCACGAGAACGGTTGATAATGGTTCCAACTATTTGTTCTCTGTAGAATATCGGTTATAAAAAGATTGTTCCAAATGTTTGTCATTCATATATTTGATTAGCTTTGATAATTGAAGAGCAACCGACAATTATTTTTTCTATGGCTATTGTTTATATTTTAGATAGTGTGTATGTATGGATATATTTCTAGGGCTGCAACGGCAATTATAAGACCTTTGCACATGGTTGATATCATCATCTATTGATTCTGTAGCAATGGCTGTTTTTAGTTATATACTTTTTCAACTTCTGACGTTTCTTTCTTCAATTTCTTGACTCTCGTCTTTCCAGTTCTCCAAACAAGAAGAAGGCGTAACTCATGTTCTTGTAACTGGTGGTGCTGGCTATATTGGTTCACATGCTGCTTTACGACTTCTGAGGGAGTCATACCGTGTAACTATTGTGGTATGTTTGTAGTTCAGGATACGCAACTATCTTTTTCTGTGATCATTCGCAGCTTGTGCATAATTGGTCTGGGTTTTGAAGGAAGAATGTACCACTTTTGTAGGACAATCTTTCACGTGGAAACATAGGTGCCGTCAAGGTTCTGCAAGACTTATTTCCAGAACCTGGAAGGCTTCAATTCATTTATGCTGATCTCGGTGATGCAAAAGCTGTATCCTTTTAGTGAAATTTATCATGAAAATTCTTTTATTTTCTTTAAATAATGATCACTTTAAGGCTTTGAAATATGGATGTGGTGTCTTATTTCCTTGATTCTATATTTAAGGTAAATAAAATATTTTCGGAAAACGCATTTGATGCTGTAATGCACTTTGCTGCTGTGGCATATGTTGGGGAGAGTACAATGGATCCTCTCAAGTAAGTCTCCTTTATGATTTATGATTGGCATCGACAGCATGGTTATTATAGGTCAGATGAGCTGTGAAATAGTAGGTTGCTCATTTTGATGTTTAAACCTAAACGAAAATTGATAATTCGACAAGAGCTGATTTAGTTGAAGAGCTTCACTGTGTGCTGTCATGCCTCAAAATGAGTGTAGGGAAACCTAAGCTTGGACCCTTTTTTCTTATGCTACAGTGCAGTAATGCGGTCCTCTAAGGTCAACTCATTTTAATTGCTTATTTAAGTTTTGTAGCTGCACTTGCCACCAGCTTGATGGACTTGTTCTACCGAGTAATACTTGATTACATCCAGACATCTATGTAGAAAGCTTTTAGAATTGTCTACTTTCCTTTCTTTCTCTAACCGAACGGCTCGAAATGAAAAGAAACTGACCTTGGAATGGAAGGTTTGCTCATTATGTCTTTTCTAAATGCCTTTTTCTAATCAACGTTGCTATTCAACCACAGCCTCCGTTTCTGCTTTCCAGCAACCTACTGGCACTGCCACTGATATCGTCATCTACATATCCTCTTACTATTTTCATTAATGAAAAGATCTCGATGTTTTAAAACACGTGTTTTCAGGACAAAGCATCAGAATCTATTATAAATTTTCTTTTAAGGATTCGGGGAGAATTGAATCCATCATAATCAATTAAGACTGACTTCTAGAGCTGCGGTTGTGAAATGTTATTGCCCAATTGATTACTCGATATTATTTGAAACTTCTTAATCTGTACTATTTAAACTAAAACGTTCGCTATGGCTTGTTTGGCCTTGATTTGCAGATATTATCACAACATTACTTCAAACACCTTGGTGGTGTTAGAGGCAATGGCTGTTCATGGTGTTAAGACTCTGATATATTCTAGTACATGTGCCACGTATGGGGAGCCCGAAAAGATGCCGATCACTGAAGTAACCCCACAGGCAAGTTTAAAGTTGGTTTTATGCCGAGCTATCTTTTTCTAAGTTTTTGTCTGAGTCTAATAAATTAAAGGATCTTCATTTATTAACTTTGTTATCTAGACATTTACGGCTATAATACAAGACAACTAACGTTTGTTTCGAACCAACTCAGGTTCCTATCAATCCATATGGAAAAGCTAAGAAGATGGCAGAAGATATTATCCTGGATTTCTCCAAAAATTCAGACATGGCTGTTATGATCCTAAGGTTTGTAAATTTGTCTCGAAAAGTGAACCTTCGTAATCCATGCTAGCTTTTCTTGACATGGTTTTCGGATTTATCCCTTAGTTTTCTTTCTCTGAAAATGCATAACTTTTGGAACTTAACAATATAAAGAATCTTCCACATCTTCAACCACATCTCCTGCATATATAAGACATATACACGGAAGGCTTAGGCTGCATAAATAAGTATTCGTGATGCCGGCAATCTGTAGTTCAAGATTGTTGGTAAAATAAAGCTCAGAATGTCGCTTGTTCTGATCATACGAGTATTTTTCGATAGTCCAACAATTTTCCATTGGTTAGTAGTTCACATATTTTTTTTGTTGAATATCTTTCAGATACTTCAATGTGATCGGGTCGGATCCTGATGGACAATTAGGAGAGGCTCCCAGACCTGAGTTGCGTGAGCATGGACGAATTTCAGGTGCTTGTTTTGATGCGGCTCGTGGTATCATTCCAGGTCTAAAGGTATTCGATTTCTTTTACCACTTTATGTTTCTCATCTTTAGTGATCTCTTTGTTTTTCTAGCTAAACTTGGAGTCAAGAAGGGAGCAACTAGTTATATACTGCATCGTATATACAGTATGTAACTAGTAGAGATGTTCAAAGATAAATAATGAAAACTCTATGGTTCGGCAGCTGCCACGAATATTTCGATGAACATTTAACGTTTCATCTTTTGCTTGAAACATGTTTGTTGTAGATGACGATTTCGTAAATGCTGATGCTTTGAGTGTACCATGTTTGTTTTATACTTTGGTGGCATTCGTTGCTTGTATTCTAATGTTAAATTTCTCATTTCGCTAATCCTGTTTTTGGTCTTCCGTGTAGGTCAAGGGAACAGACTATAATACACATGATGGCACTTGCATACGAGATTACATCGATGTTACCGACTTGGTCGATGCTCATGTTAAAGCTCTTCAAAAGGCAAAGCCCCGAAACGTAGGAATCTACAATGTCGGCACCGGGAGAGGTAGATCGGTGAAGGAGTTTGTAGAGGCCTGCAAGAAAGCAACAGGGGTAAAGATAAAAGTCGACTATCTTCCCCGCCGACCAGGAGATTACGCTGAAGTATTCAGCGACCCGACTAAGATATACCGTGAGTTGAACTGGACCGCTCAACAGACTAATCTCGCAGAGAGTTTAAAGACCGCATGGAGATGGCAAAAGGCACATCGTGATGGATATGGAGCCTCTTAGGTGTTACGGCATCCTCATTGGATCACCAACATTTTACAGGAAACGGCTAGCACAGAGAGGCCTCGGATGGCCCCGACAGCAGCCGCGTTTCTTCTATTATATCGATCACATAGAAGAGGAGAGGGAAATTTTTCGAGATCGAAAAATATTTTTTCCATTGCTGTTCTATGCATTATATGGATAGTTGATCATATATGTACTTGAAGTGATAGTGGTGGTTGAATAACATTGATGGTCAGGCTTAGGTATTGCTTTTGGTGATTCTTTTTGCTTCATTTCCTTCAATAAGGCTGCCTTTGTGCCTACTTATAATTAACCAGCCATGGGACCTTTTTACAAGAATTTGAAATTTAGTGGAAGAAAATGCGAAAATAAATAATAAATAAGAAAAAGAGCTTTATGTACTAAATTTCTATTATTTTAATTTTTTTTATTATATCTATCTATAAGAAAAAAGGATTAATTATAAAATAAGTGCTTAAATTATATTGCTTTTCCTAAATTGGTGCTCAAACTTTTTTTTAATCATTCAGGTGCCTAACGTTATAGATGTTACCAATTTAGGTGTTCGGGATGTAACAACCATTAAAAAATAACGTTAAGTGACACGTTCCGGTAATTTAGTTTTTTTAAAAAAATAAAAATATTATATTTATAAAAAACCCTTTTTCTAAAATTACAAAAAGCCCCAAATCCCTAAAAATTTCAAATCCTTAATCCTAACCCTAACCACTTTTACTGGCCACGACCGTCATCGTCAATGTCGCCCTTTCCATCTCCTTAACCGATTGTCGTCTCCCTTGTTAGAGTCACGGACGTCGTTCGATTGTCTGGCTGGGTATCGCGAATTTGAGAGTTTAAGTTTGTTGGAGACGTTATTTTGGGTCGTGATTTTGTCGTTTCCTTCATCTGGTTTGGCTTGTGATTGGGTGGAGGTTCCGGTGGAAGTCTGATCAATATCGAACGACGACATCCGATGTGAGTTTAGGAATTGAAATTATAATTTTTAAAGTTTTAAGGGTTTTTTAAGGATTTTGAAATTTTTGAGTTTCTTTTTATAAATATATTAATTTATTTTTAAATAAAATTTTTTAAAATTAAAAGGACGTGACATGTATTATTTAACTATAAATTTAACTGTCATTATAGTTCGGACAACCAAAATAGTAATACTTATAACATTAAGTATATCGATAACTCAAGAAAATGTTTGGGCACCTAAGAGAAAAAGCGATACATTTTACCTTCAGTTTTCATCTTCTTCAACCTTGGTATCGAGATCGACACCGATAAGCAAAAAAAAAAAAAAAAAACTTTTGCTCCAAAACCCTCTGTGCTTTCCATTTTGTTTTCTAAGAGACTTGACTTTCTGTTGATCTTATTCGTCGATATATTATCATTTTGTCGGATTAACGACTTTAAGACATATATCTCACAAAGAGGATTAAAAGGTGCCTGGACGATGATGGTATCTTCTGTTCTTGCACGTCATCATCCGGCTCTTCCGTGTGTGGCAAGATTGCCACTGTGGGTAAGATTTGTCTCGGTTGATCGGAATTCATTATCAAACTACGTTATAAGTGAATGTTTTCGGATTTGTTGAAGTGGATTTCGTCTTGAGCCTTAAATGGCATGTCATAGTGGGATTAAACTACGATTCATCTTCTTACACTGCACAAGTAATATGGAGTTGCGTATTTAATTCTATTGCTACTCGCAGGATGCTACTGTCTAGTTGCTGCCCCAATACTGAGATGCAGAAATGGTTCTCTTCCTATCCATATTAGTAGACTTGCATTGATTTTAAGTGACATGCTAATCTCAACGCCTCTTTGTTTTGTTTTTTTACCTTTGGCAGGAAAATTGATGGTGAAACAAGGATTGGCATATTCGCATTGCGAGATGTAAAAAAGGGCGAGCCGCCGACCTATGATTATCAGTACGAGTGCTTGACCGACTCTCTACGTGTGAAAAGAAATATATTTCTGGCATTTCGTTCAATGCTAGTAAAATCTGAAGTTTTAAATCAATCCTTTTTCACATGAAATGCTGAAGCCATTGGTGTTGGTTCCTTTGAAACCTTTAGTCTTGGTAAAATCTAACCAATTTAGCAGGTCTGTTCAATTTGGTGCAGATCAAGATTGTCATTGAGGTGCAGCTGGCTGCAGGAGAAAACTGGGCGTCAAACCGAGCAAACCAAAGACGTCATCAGACGCTGCTGCATTAAAGCTAGTTGCATGCCAAGTCGCAGTGCCCTCTACGACATTGAAAGCTATAGTCGAGTACCAATCGACCAAAGCCACCAAGCAAGTGTTACAAACGGTAAGCTATATCCGTCTCAGATAGTGGCATTTTGATAGACTAATGCTGGTTAGAGTGTTTCCTTCAATGCGTAGTGTCACCGAACAAGTCGGGGAAGTTTATGTCTGGAATTGATTGTCTCGCAGGTTCATCGTAGTCGAGAAAATGACCGACTCGGGTTGCATTGTTATTAGAGCAATGCCCTAATATTGTATGTTATGAGAGCAATGCCCTAATGTTGTATGCTTCCCCCCTGCATACCGAGGTACTTGCCAGTGTTGTTTCTTATCTTGGTGTGTACCATGTTGTATAAGGCCACAAAGGGAAGTTGTGCCGTGTACTATCTATGTCAATAAAACAACTTATGAAGCCATTATGTGGTACTAATGACCCTCATTGGCTGACATTAATATGTTTATGGATTGATTTTGTTCTTTTAATTCGGTTCAAAATTCGAGAAGGGTTAGAAGAAAAAAGGTCATTTAGGGTCATGGTTCGATTTCAACCATTTTAGTATCTCCATGTTTAATATTAAAAAATATTTCACAAGCAGAATTCAAGAGATAACATGCAGATACAGCCTAGAGAATAGATCATCAAATCATATGTTATATTTTTAAGAAAAATACTTCCTACCGTATCTTGAACACCGAGTTGGTTTACAAGTCACATATGATGAAATCAGACGTTCTATAATTTCTATCTTTTCATCAACACAAGAATCACTGTTAACATCCATAAGCCACTCCATAACTCTCCAACTCCTAACAATCACACCATGTTATAACCCTAATCCTTTGCCGACATCACGGAAAAGAATGCCAACAATACAATACAATGCATGCCATAGATCCCATCTTCATAACAAATGCTTCCGTTCTATAACAAAGTACAACCCTAGAATGTAGGACCGAAACAATGTGACCTTTAATTATATGTACACCTCCCAAACTGGACACGCAGTGCATTGAAATCCGTTGCAAGTATTCTGTAAAGTTAGTTTCATGTACCAGCAAATGAGTCATCATCTGCTTGTCTTGTAGGATTAGCTATTGTGCTTGGAATCCTCCCCTTCTAGAACTGGGCATTGTGCCATCTGATAAATTTCAAAGGACTGTGATTAACAGAAATGGACCACAATGCACACAGCCAATTAACAATATCAATGGAAGAATCTGAAAAGCAAATTTTACCATCCTCTTCATCATCATTATCTCCATTCTGGCTTGTAAAGAATGGGGTGAGGTAATTCCTATCTAATTCAGAGAATGATGCTGCACTGCAGGGTACAAAATGGTTTTAAATAAAAAAATATATTAGAAGATTAATTGATAGATCCCTGATCATGATTAAAGGCAAAAATATCGACATATAACCTTTTGTGGAACTCTCTCAGTTTCATCCTTATCTTGCTCCCTGGTGTTCCATCTTCATCACAAGTTGTAGGAATATATCCCTTGTTACCGTCGAAGCCCTGGAAGAAATTATTGATTTCTGTTACTTATGCGAAAATCACTCACAAAAGCTCACCAATTTTCTTTTTAATATTCACAACAAAACACGGCCATAATCATGATGGCACCAGCAGTTTCCTAATTCAACGTTTTCACTTGATTCTCATCGATTAGCAGTTCAGACAAAATCTGAAATGACCAATCAAGGAAGATGCAGTGGAGCCTCCCTCTATTCTGAGACAGACACGCACAAACAATTCCTAGACGTAAAAACATCTACAACAGGGGAGTGTTTATCGTAAAACATTAATTTAAAATAGATAGCATAGTTTCTGTGGAACTTACTTCTCCGAAGTGAGCATCATGACCATCCCCCACAACTTGCAGAGCTTCTAGCATTGTACCTGTTGAACCTCCAATTAGCAATACCTGTCGCATTTGGGGGGGGGGGGGAAAGGTTACTACAAAGATAAGCATCAACTACTACACTATGATCATGATGTATTTACAACTCTTGAAATGAGTAAAAATGCAGATGATGCAATCATCTACATACCATTGGACATGCAAGGTTTCACGTTAGTTTAACACTAATTGCCAACTGGTGGTGAGAATATACTTTTTATCAATATCATGAACAAAATTGTGGGTTATCTAATCCAGAGGATAAAGATTACAATGCAAAGAAAGTTACTGAATTTCTAGTGAATCAATAATGCATGCTGGAAGTAGCATGAATTAGACAGCCAAATTTACTTCGAATGGAACCGGTAATATACGAACCAGTTATGCCAAAAAATGTGAATATCACTTTAGTATGAGATGCGTGTCAACATTAACTTATGCACTTCATTATCCATACTAAATGCCAATTTCTTCTCCAAGCTACGCGGCGGGGGGGGGGGGGGGGGGGGACCATAGAACTACAGAACCAAGGCTTCAAGTTTTCTTTACCTAGAAGCCGGACATTTCAAAAGATAGAAATGGTAATGCAGATACATGCAAATAAATATTGTCTTCATCTCTAAGCAATGAGCACTGAATGAATAACAAAATATATAACTTAGAGAAGCTAAATTTTAAAATAAATTTTCAGCATATTCTGAAAAATTCTTAAATTAAACTAGAGATTTTCTCACATACCGTCAAAACAACTATGGCAGTTGTTGCAGTGAAAATAATCTGACCATGTCCTTCCTGAAGATCATGAACAGATTGCAGAGCAAGAGCAAAAGCCATTGCCCCTCGAAGTCCTAGTCAAGAAAATAGTAGTTTAGTTTCTGAAAAGGTCTATATCCAACTAGGATGAAACTAGTATTTCTCTTACCACTGTAGCAAAGTGCTTTTTGGTGCTTTAAAGGTATTTGCCTATGTGAAGGACGAACCAAATTGACCAGATACGCACAAGAAAAGACATTGGCAGCCCTAAAGATTTAAATACACAACCTCATTAATTAGTCTATATAGGTCCATAAACAATAAATAATTCAAAAATTGAATGATCAATAGTTATTTAGCTTTGAAGGTCCAGGATATCATCATATATAGCTCATTTACCTTGCAACTGCAATAAATAACTGACATGATAATGGAGGAAGTCAAGGAATAACTATGAGACCATAATAAGCATCCACCAAATCTAGGTTCGCACAAAAAGTAGTAATAATAATAATGCAAGGATACAATTGAGAAAAAGATAAACCCCAAATGCGACCAGCTGTGCTTTTCCATGGCAATATCAAAACCCATGTATATAAATCTGCAAAATTGCACAAAATAATCTTGAGTCACAATGGAAAGTCATGGCATGGACAAGAAGTTAAATCAGTTCCCATGCAACAAAGATAACTCCCTTAGGTAAATTTCTTACATGAATGTCTCAGCCAGTGATGATATTAAGTGAAAAAAGTCGGATACAAAATGTTGGGAATTTTCTGATAAATTTGAGTATGTGTAGTGCTTCATCACCTAAAAGAAGAAGAAAGTGTCCATCATGCCGCATCAACCTTTAATTTACAAAATCAGCATTGTAAGTTCACTTACCATTCCAGTGAACAATATTGACACAATACCGGAGAGGCTGAGACCTTCCGCAAGCATGTATCTAGAAGATATATTCTCAAAATTAACTGATGAAGGGGTTCATTAACAATAAAGGTCAGGAAAAAAATATCATAAAGGGTAGACTACTTACGAGAAATAAGGGAAAAGAACAAAAAGACAGCACTCCAAGTTTTGAAGACTGCAAACAGTAATGACGAGATATAACGGTCAGGAATTTCCAGGATCAAAATACACTTCATAAAGGAACCAAAAGGTTGACATCAAGTACTTACTTGTCAATATCTAATCCAGCATACTTAAAAAGGTTCTAGGAGTTAAGGTTTCAAAGCAGATAACAACTTAGAGTTGATATAAAACATGGTATAAAAATATAAAAGACAGATAAGGATATAAGAGCAGAAGTAAATCCAACACCAACACCTGCACACCATGGAAAGAATCTTAGTCATTGTGATTAAAAGTGCATAAAAGTATGGAATGGGTAGAAGATCAATTGGTAACAGAAAATAACTGCATTGGAAAATTGAGATAAAGCATTTTTCTTTCACTTTTTTTTCGTTCTTTTTTGTTAAAAAAAATCTTCCATTTTCCCCTAGAGATGTTTGTACTCTGCTAGATTTCTAATTAATCAAAAAGAAAAATAATAACATTACTGTTCGTGGCATTTGTTGGGATGAAAAATTATATAACGATACTAACACATTTTAGTCTCTTCAATCTTCACTAATAAAATTCAAAAATACATTACTAGATTGAATCAATTGAAGTAATTAAGACTTCTTTGAGATTTAATTTGATTGTTCAATTAAATGCAAGAACTTAAGCATAAATAAACCAAAAGTTTATTCGCACTTGACCTAGAATTAAAAGCCTTGTTTAGCCACACACCTCAAAGGAGTTTGGGTTGGCTTTTAATTTTGTTCACTCATTCAGCTGTACACTACTACAAGAGAAAAAGGATTGTTTCTTTGCATCTGACCTAGCATTAAAAGCCTTGTTTAGCCACACACCTTATGCTTAGTGTTAGTTTCCCGTTTTTGGATTTTTAGCATGTATATAAAGAGGCTACCATAAAAAAAGAAAAACACTGCTCATTTAGGCCACATCCAAAATAATTAACAACACAGTGGTAACTAGGACATAAAAAACCTAAAATAAAGTAAGTATAAGGATGGCAAATGGACAGCAATTTACCATGCATTCACTTGCAAGAAGAAGCTTAGCAAAATTTTCTTTTCTTTATCCATTAAAAGCAATTATGTAGATATAAGTTTTAATATAACAAAGATATATGAAATCTCAGCAAGACCAAAGGTTAAGACAGACCTGAAGACATAGAGCCAACAAAGGTCTCAAGAAATCTAACAATCACCATAAAGATGTTTTGCCCAGATGGATCATTACTTCTTACTATAGACATTGTTCTGCATATAGAAACAACAGTTGATTTAAAAACCGAACTAACCATTCTCACCACAAAGGACAAATGCAGTACCCAATTTACCTGTACAAAGATATCGCCATCTGCATAAAGAACCATTTCACCCATTAAGTAATGTGCATGTACAGAAAAATATATTAGAAACATGAAACAATGGACCGCTGATAGAGTGATACAAAACTTACAGCATCATTTAAGACAGATTCCCCGAAGACCAAAGCATAAAGGTTCATATCAGTGCCAAGTTCCTACAATTATGATCATCAAACATTGATCAGATAGCTCGTATGTTTACTGCTTAAACAATAGTGTTATAAATCCTCAAGAGGTAAAAGAGGCAAGAAAACTTTGATTTCTCAAAACCACTATACCTACGACTTGACATTTTGTTAAATTAATGAAAGTTCAATTAAGCGGAAGAACCAGTAGCAGAAAGTAACAGCAAAAACTCTTTGAAGACACAATTGCAGCAGATAGTTAAAATTGACATACACATTTACAAAAACTAATCAGCTAATGAATGGAAAAAAATAGAATTAAGGGGATAAGATTATATGGAAGCTTTTCTTATAAGTACTGACTAAGAGAACTTTGCTTTTGGTTAATGAATGAGTTAATGTTACTATTGTTTTGATCATGTAAATAATTACTATACAATAGCTTCTCACTGGTTTGCATGAATGATTTTGTTATAACAACAGATAGCGAAGATGGAAGAAAATAAAACCTGAAATATGGAAAGAACAGTAACAGGGTCGGTTGCGGATATAAGAGCACCAAACATTAGGCATTCAACAAAAGGAAGTCTGTACATGAGGTACATCAGACCACCAAGATAGCTGTAACATAAGAGGGTTAACTAGTGAGAAAAAGATAATTCCTGAATCACAAAAAAAAAAAAAACTGATTTTTGTACTGAAGAAATACTCACACTAAAACTCCAGTAACAACTGAAGATATAAAAGTTCCTACAATAGCAAAACTGACAATGGCTCCAAAGTTAGAGAAAAAGGGCTTCTGCCAAAATGGGAGAAAACGACATGAGAATTACAGGAAAGACCAATAACAGGGCTTGTAAACATAATGTTATCTGTAATAGGAGAGTTAATACTACTTACAGGTGATAAGCTGAACCCTGATTGAGTGGCGAAAGGGGGAAGTCAAGAAGAAACAGTTTGATACCAGGGGAAGCATCTGCTTGAAAAAGGAAAAAGTAGGAAGCAAACCAACAATTATCTAAACAAATGCAAAGGATATAAGATGATTGGAGGTAGCAGAAACAGGAAGAAGAACTCTTCATGGAAATTGAACCACGCCCTGCCCAGGTTATAGAACACCAAAAACGAAATCAGGGTTTTCCCAATTTGATCGAACTGGAAAACTGAGAAAGACACAATAACAACGAGAACTACAACAGAGGGTAAAGAAATGGAAGACCTGATGCTTGTTTCAGTGTCGGAGATGTTAGCAAGTCCACCAACAATCAAACCTGACAAAAAATACATATCTTCTTCAAAACCTAATGAAATCTGAAAGACGAGTTAAAAAAACGATAATCCGGCAAAAATTGACTAACCAATAAGCAAAGAAGCGCTAGCTTCAGGGAGATAATAGAATTTGTGACGGCGAAGAACATGGCCGACGACGAAAGAGAGAACGAGCATCATAATTTGAAGCAGAATCCCAACTCCGGCGGCCTGCTGCTCTTGTCCGGGGATCCCTTTCTCCGCCGTCGAATTCTCCATCTTTACGTTCCACGGTGATCAGACGATCTAGGAACACCTGCGGTAACGGCCTCGGCGACGGCGAATATTTTCCGATGACGCCTATTACCGTCGACTTCTACTACTATTATTTCGTCTTTTTTCTGCTTGGGTCAAGTAATTTTTAATAATAAACTTTAGTTTTAATAAGAAGAGACGTGATACTCGATACCGCTTCTTCTTTCCCTATCTTTTACTTTTCACATCTCTTTTACGTTATATATTAAAAAAATCAACTTTAAACTCAAATTCAACTCTATTCGATTCGATTTGATTCAATTTCGATTCTTTATTCGATTCTTTGTTTTAATTATTCCTAATGTTTTAAGTTATTCTATATTAAGCTAAAGTTCATTATTGTTGGTGTTTGAACGTATGAATCCTAAAAACAATAACGATTCCTTTAAAACTTTTAAAAATCAAAAAGTTATGTATAGTTAAATATGTTTAAACTTGTATCTTTGTGAATATCGTAGTAATAATTAGGCTCCTGCTGTAATAGACATAATTTATCATTTTTACATTTATCGTATTTTTACATTAATTTAACTTTCAAAGTTATTTAATTGTATCATTCTATAAACTGCTCCTAACTTAAAACCCTGAATTATAAACCTTAAGTTAAGAGCTTAGAGTTTATGGTTTAGATGTTATGGGTTATGGTTTATAATTAATGGTTTTAAGTTAGAAGTAGGATATATAATTATACAATTAACCAACTTTGATGTTAAATTGATGCGGAAATAAAACAGAGACGAAAATAATAAGTTGGATCTACTATAAGGACGAATGTGACCCTTTTACCTAATAATTATATTAATCGAATCAATATTCGATTGAGTACTTTAAAACATTTAGAGTATATTTAGCATAACATTAACAAAAGATTAAAATTGAACGATACCGATAATATAAAGATCAATATAATAGATTTTAAAGTTTAGAAATTAATTTTTGAATAAGATCATAGCTTGATAATCGATATATAAAATATTTTAAACAAAGTATTATAATTATATAAGTTAATTAAGTAATTATATATATATATAATTAAGTAATTATATATATATATATATATAATGAATTAAAATTGAAAATTTGCTTTTAATTTGAGCAATTATATATATAAGTTAATTAAGTAATTATATATATAATTAAGTAATTATATATATATATAATGAATTAAAATTGAAAATTTGCTTTTAATTTAAGCAATTATATATATATATATATATTATAATATCACTATTCAATCTATCATTAACAAGTTAATTAAGTATAAATTTCATTAACAAATTTTAAACAAAGTATTATAAGTTAATCCCACATTAATTCAATTGAAAATTATAAAAAAAATTAAATGCCTAAATTGATGCTTCCTCAACATATCATGTGCTTAAGTTTTATTTTAATTAAAAAGAATATGAAAAGCATTACTTACAATAAATAGCCTGAGTTTATATTATTTAGGTTAGATTACGTATTTAGTAGCTAAACTATTAGTTTTGATCCGTTTTAGTATTTAAACTTTCAATTTTTTCAAAAGTATACCTATAAGTTTAGTTTTTGTTTCATTTTAGTACCGTCGTTAAAAACTTTAGTTTTCGTTTCATTTTAGTATCCCGTTCAAAATTTAACGTTAATTTTTTATTTTTTTTAAAGTTTAGGTACTAAAACGGACCAAAACTGATAGTTTAAGTACTAAACGTGTTAAGTAACATGTTAAGTTTTTAATGGCGAGTACTAAAAGAAAATGAAAACTAAACGTCGGGTATGATTTTGAAAAAAATTAGAAGTCTAGGTACTAAAACAGACCAAAATGGATAGTTTAGATACTAAGTGTGTAGTTTACCCTATTATTTACATATGCCTGCTTGAGCAAGCTAAGCCAAATCAGCAGACAGTCCATCAGGCTTCTATGGTCACTTTAATCATAATAAATTCTCCGTTGTGTTTTCAATTCATAATGGTCACTTTGAAAATGGGAAAATTAGTTGTTGGGAATAATTTCATCCTTTTCAATTTTAAATATAATTAATTAAAGACAAATAATTATGATGTTAACGTTTTTTCTGTCAATATTATACATAATTGACATACCAATTTAGTAAATTACGCATTTAGTATATAAACTATCAGTTTTGGTTTGTTTTAGTACTTAAACTTTCAATTTTTTTTGAAATCATAACTATTGTTTAGTTTTCAAGTCATTTTAGTATCTCGCATTTAAAAACTTAATACGCATAGTACCTAAACTTTCAATTTTTTCAAAACTTAATATTAAATTTTGAACAGGTACTAAAATAAAACAAAAACTAATATTTTTAACGGTGTGGTACTAAAATGATGAAACAAAAACTAAACTTTAGGTATGTTTTAAAAAAAATGAAAGTTTAGATACTAAAACAGATCAAAATTGATAGTTTAAGTACTAAACATGTAATTTATCCTAAAATAAAAACCATATCATCACCGTAAAAACTAATAGTGTTATCAGTGTGGACTTACCAACAACTTTATAAAAGTAACAAATTATGCCGAAACTGAAGTAGAGAGATTAAATTTCAAATTCCCAGAATGCTATAGGGACTAAAGCCGTAGTTATACCATTTCTTTTCATAGATATAATACAGTTGCATGTACAGGGTTATTCTCATATTTGATCCCTATATATTCTCAACTCAAAACCTCTTATTGTTCAAGTTTGCTGTCCAGTCCACTGCATCTACAACCTGGAATATATCATCTCAAAAGCCTAGTAAAACGCCGCCGCAGCTAACTTGGATTTAGAGCTGCTAGTGCTAGCTATTAAGCACCAAATTCTTCTCATATTGAAGGGTCCGAATAGTTGGAGGATTGAATTGATGATCTTAGAGACTTAGAGGACCAATTGGGAAATTGGCAAAAAAAAATTCCTCCTCTTATTCTCCAATTCAGTCCCCCAACTGTTTAGACTCTTCATTCGGATCCGAGACATTTCTCGGACCCTTTGTAGAGTCATGAGAAACAGCTCCAGACAGAAAAAAATAATAATAATTTTCGATTGTTGGAGGTTCCGATCGACCGGAAAATTAGGAATCGGCTCATCAAACAGCTAAAAGCATTGCTAATTATTATAAAGCTAATGTCTTTTTCCCAGTAAGCTTGCTTGTCACAATTTTTATTGGGTAAACTATGCATTTAGTACCTAAACTATTAGTTTTGGTCGGTTTTAGTAAATTTTTAATTTTTTCAAAGCCATACCTAAAGTTTAATTTTTGTTTCATTTTAGTACCCACCGTTAAAAACTTAATACGTTTAGTACCTAAACTATTAATTTTGGTCTGTTTTAGTGCCTAAACTTTCATTTGTTTCCTTCAAAATTTCACGTTAAATTTTGAATGAGATACTAAAATCAAGCAAAAACTAAACTTTAGGTATGGTTTGAAAAAAATGAAAGTTTAAGTAATAAAACAAATCAAAATTGATATTTTAGGTACTAAACGCATAATTTACCCTTTTTTTATTTCACGCCCCCCACCAGAAATTTGGCTTTTTTACCCCACTGACACCGTTTATTTTTATTTTTACTTTTCTAACACCGTTCGACCAATATTTCCAAAACTAGCACCCTTTCTGCTGAGTTGGCAAAGGCGCGTCCCCGGGGGCGCGCTTTACCCGTGTTTTCGCTGAGTTGGATGCCACGTGTGAAAGGCGCGTCCCCGGGGACGCGCCTTTGCCATATCAGCAGACACGTGTGGAAGGCGCATCCCCGGGGACGCGCCTTCCATTAAATGTCATTAATGCCCCCATCCGTTTTTCCTAACTACCCCTCCTCCTCCCCTATATAAACCCCCTCAACCCTCACTCATTCTTCACACCAAAATCATCTTCTCCTCTCTTATATAACTCAAATTCTCCAACTATTTGAGTTTTAAATTTGTTATTAGTGGTAAGAAATTTATTTTTATGTTAGTATTTTTTTAAATAGTTATTATTTTTATATTAATATATTATGTAAATATTATTTTATTATTAAAATAATATTTATATAATTATTATTTATTTAGAATTATTAATTTTTTGCTAATTATATTGTTTTGTCTACAGTTATAATGGAAAACGAAATGCTGTTGCGATTGGATAATGATCATATCTCCAGACATTTTAGCGATATGGTAATATTTTTATAATTAATGTTAATATTTAAATTTATTTTTATTTTAAAGTTATTATGAATTTATATTAATTTTTACTTTTTATAATATATATTATTTAGGATGCTGATCGTATTTTAGAAACTTTTATTAAAAATCCACGTATACCGACACCGGAACGTATTTTGCCATATTTGGCTTCTGCTGGGTTCGGGTATATTGCAACAATTATAGGCGGTTGCAAACTCGAACCTGTCCTAATTTCTGCACTGATTGAGAGGTGGAGGCCCGAGACACACACTTTTCACCTTCCATGTGGAGAGGCAACAATTACGTTGGAGGATGTCTCTATGCATCTGGGGCTTCCCGTCGACGGAAATATGATGTGTGGTATGGCGGATGGTGATTGGCAATCAATGTGCATTGATTATCTTGGAGCTGCTCCGCCAGAGTTTAATGGAGGTAGAATAGCTTTATCTTGGTTGAAAGCTAATTTTGAGGTTTTAAATGAAAATGCTTCAGAGGATCAAGCAAAGGCATGTGCTCGGGCATATATTCTACGAATAATTGGAGGAATATTGATGCCCGACAAATCTCGCAACCAGGTGCATTGTATGTGGTTGCGGCATCTGATCGATTTTGATGAAGCTGGAAGATATAGTTGGGGTGCTGCAGTTTTGGCATTTCTCTTTAGAGAAATGTGTCGGGCGACGAATTATAAGAAAACTGCTATCGGTGGATGTCTTCTGCTTCTACAATCATGGGCGTGGTTCCGCATGCCTTTCTTATGCCCGATCGTGAATGAACCATACGTATTCCCCTTATTGTTGAGGTAATTTTCGAACTAAATTTTGATTTAAATATTTTCAATTAAATAGGGTGATATTTAGTTTATATTATATTTCATAGGTGGTCGATGAAAAGAAAGGACCATAAAAGTATACCTACTGTTTTAGAGGAAATTCGT